ACCCTAACCACCAGGTCCTACCAAACCTTTTGAACAGTCAATCTATATAAATGTAGTTTTCCCTGTGGCCCAAGTATGTGAGGAACGTCCAGTTCTTTCATCCTCTTTGGCAGCAGTCTTCGATTTGATGGAACATTATCAGTGTTGTAGTGCTGAATTGTATTGGGTCGTAGCCTGCCGAAACTTGTTAGACGTGTGACGTCAGCATCACGGTAAATGTAGTTTTCCCTGTGGCCCAAGTATGTGAGGAACGTCCAGTTCTTTCATCCTCTTTGGCAGCAGTCTTCGATTTGATGGAGCATCATCAGTGTTGTAGTGCTGAATTGTATTGGGTCGTAGCCTGCCGAAACTTGTTAGACGTGTGACGTCAGCATCACGGTAAAGATCTGATATTCAAGACCTGACTTGCATTTTAAATAAAGATAATTTCTGCAGCACTAATTATTTGAAACTACTTACATTAATAATGAATCGAATACGAATATCACGCAACTTAACTTCTTTTAGATTAAATAGAAAGGAAACAACAACAACTGAGTACAATATAAAAAACATTAACATTAAAACAATCTTTAAAAACTCATATCTTATTAACTTACTATAATTCTAGCTGCACTGAAGTATCAACAAATTTAACTTTGTTAACACTTTGCACACCTCCTGTCCTGCCAATATGAATAACTGAAAATAATAATAAAATAGAGTTAGTAAGTCTTTTAAAAACGTGCAAGCTTTAAACACACAATAAATCGGTAAAGCGTATTTTATTAAGCGTTTTAATACCATTCTCATGTGCCTAATGACTATGTGACATATGAAAACAACATTTCATGCTTGTACACCTCCTTTTGATCTGGAGCGGTCGCACGATGTCTGACGCCATACCCCAAGGGAGAGTGACAGAAGGTGTGCTGGGCAGTCTAACAGAGCTTTGCTAATGAATACGTGGGTTCAAAAACAGTCAAAGTGTTCTTCAACACTTTTAAGAATCAGGTTATGAAAGACACTTAATTTCATGTGTAAAATGAATAAATCATTTTTAACAGATACTTTTAGTTTTTGAAGTGTTGTGTGACTCGGCTCCAATTTTCTGGAAACCATACAGCCGGTGGTGGAGGTAAAACTGGTATTACTGTTCACTATTTGAAAGCCCAATTTCCTGTAACGAGGATTCACTACATGTCCTTTTCACAAAATTGTGTTTTGTTAGTGTGATAAGTCGAAAAGATAAAAAGTTATCGTGTTAATGACCCTGTTAACCCTATAATTTAGTTTGGAGACGGTATTTCCATTCTCCTTTAACACTGTGAAGCACATTCGTGTAACTGTCGATGGTCTGACACTTGTCACGAATTCGTTGTTTCGGTGTCCCAAAAACTTGTCTTCAGGATGCTACAGAAACTTTCATTTTTTTTTCTAGCTTGTCATTTAAAAATATATTTTTCGGAACAACTCACCTTAATTAGGATTGAGTTTTTGTAGAACTTTCCACTGGAAACCATAGCTTTTATAATGTTCCAACATTTTACTGAGTAACAATTCGACAAGTCATTGGGTATAAGTATGTTTATTTATTGATACAGAGGTCTTCTAATATGATAGATATTAATATCAACCACATTAAGTGTAACGAACCGTCAAACTAACTAGAAACTTTACTGCGAGTAGGTTACAACAGTTGGCGTGTTCCAGGCTAACATTTTAATTATTACTTGTTTAACTTTAAACTGTAGCCTATAAGCCTGAATTCATATGATATTTGTAAGTAACATTTTACCAGTAAAAGACATCGTATTATATGTTTTTGATAAAAATAATGTGTGGATCTCATAACCATATCAAGGAACGTTTTAAACTGGGATCTGTAATCACATTTCAACAGAAAGTTATGAGGTAATTAGAACTTATGCAACATGTACAGCAACCGATTTGTCACGTGTTAACTTTAAACAGCCAACGTCATCATACATATTAGTGAAATCATCATAGGTATTAGTGATGTGTAAGTTTTCTAAAGAAATTAAGATCACACCTGACATTAATTAATAAACATTACAGTACAGTAATACAAGAACCTGCTACTAGCAAATATCACATACTTTAAAATCGCGACCGATTAGCGTACCTTATATATATATATATAGGAAGTTTTGTTTCTTTTAAAGATTTGGATACGTACAAATACTCTGTTCTATATCAGTACTTTCTTAGAATTTAACTTCTTTTGGTAATAAAGTGTTCTAGTTCAATTGAAACTCAAGTTTAAGTGTACCTATGGATCTTGGTCGTTAAACTCGCAAACTGACTCCTAAGACTAAGAGTAGTATATATTCAGGTCAGATCACTGTATAAATCCTGGGGCATCAGATTTTGATTTGTGATAACATAGGCTACTTCTTGGTGACGTACACGAGATGAATAAGCAAGACTGTTGTAAGAGGAGGACCACATCGATCCCAATATATATATATATATCTTAGACAAACAAGAACAATGAACCGTGCCAGCACACGAACCACTGAACACAGTAAAGGCATCAAGACAATCACCAGCTGACCCGAGTTCCATGTTTTTTTTTATTATTATTATTACGTACACAGGCTCGATCGCTGGTCATCTCAACTCGAATAACTGTTTCATATCCTCACTAAAGCACTGTAAATATTACGGCAGAAAGTGCAGGAACTTTCTACTAAAATTCACATTTTTCTTTTTACATTTTTTACTGTTCTTTCACACCTAGCCAATAAACAGCGTCTCTTTGAAAATACGCCACTAACTCGCCTAGTTGACGGGAATTACATGGAGGTCCACAAAACAGCCGTGGTTCAGGTAACAATGGCACATGCAATGTTTAACATTCGGAAGCGTTAGTATGTCAATTCCTCCGCCGAAGTGTGGAGGTTGGAGTGGTCATACACAAGGCTGAATGTTGACACCCATGGCGGCACGAGTCACGAGCTGAATACGAAGGTCCTGGGACAAGGTGACATTCGAAAAACAGCCTACTAGCCCTCGCTGGTATTGGTTGAAAGTGCTATGGACAATGTCTTTCATTCCACCTACAACAAAAATAAAAACATAAAGAACGCATCAATAATTTCCTACCATCCTAGTAACACATATGTCAGATCACCATCCTAGTAACACAAATTTCAGATTTTACACCATCCTAGTAGTACAAATTTCAGATTTTATACTATCCTAGTAACACAAAATTCAGATTTTACACCATCCTAATAACACAAATTTCACATTTTATATCATCCTAGTAACACAAATTTCAGCTTTAACACCATCCTAGTAACGTATGTTTTAGATTTTATACCATCCCAGTAACATATATTTCAGTTGTTATACACCTTAGTAACATACATTTAATATTTTATACCACCCTAGTGACGCACATTTCAAATTTTATACCATCTTAATCTCCGTCTAATCTTCCCGACACACAAAATAATCAAACATAATACAAGTAAAATGAAAAATGCGTTCCTAGAAATGAATAACTTTAGTTTCCAAAACCAGCCATTCTCATTTAACTAGCCATGCTGATCAAATCTGTGAAGTGAACAATTCACAAGATTTTCAGATTATTTGTAAACTACTGAACACATAATCTGTTGCTTATTTTGTTTCAGTAATTTGTGAAAAGCTACAGGCTATCTGTGCTAGCCGTCTCTAATTTTGAACTGACAGACTAGAGGGAAGGCAGCTAATAAAGAACACCTACCACCAACTACTGGGCTATTCTAATCAAATAGTGGGATATATATATTTATATACAAAAGATCATTGGTACACTTTATGTGAATCGTTTTATCCTTATATAACCGCTATCTACTCAACTAATGTCTTAGCTATTTGGAAGTCAGTTTGGTCAAATCTCCTTTATAGAACTACCATCTTGTACTGATAGGGGGCGGTAGTTAGAGAAATTACTTTTATTTTGTTTTGATATTTACATATAATGTTTAATGAAATTATCTTCTAATTTATTATTATTAGTATGTAAGCAGTATTTGTTTATTTTTCAAATACGGTTTCACTAATTTTTAAAATTTATTTTATTGAGAAAATGTGACATTTTTTAATTTTTTGTAGATTAAAAAAACATAAATGAATACTTCGTTTTTCATTCATATCAAAATCCATATTGACATAAAATACAGGGTTGAGTATGTTACATAAAACGATTTTGAATATGCAAATCACCAAGTTACGCGAAAACACAGCCGATATAAAGTGGCGGCGGACCGATATGTATCTTTAACTACATTTTTCACATTACTGAGCTTCGAGTAGCTTGTGTGATGCCACCAAAAAAAAAAAAAAAAAAATACAAAATTGATCACTTTTTTTCTGTTCTCGGAAGATTGAAGAAGATATGTAATTTCATTAAGAAGAGTTAGAATAAAATGAGAGCGATGTTTCGGTTTAGAGTAAAACAAGCTGAAGATTGTGTTATCTTATTTATATATATTGTAATATAAAATATAAGATACCAGGGCAAAGCGTGTAAGAATTATTGAGATGTTGTTGTGTAATATAAAAGTGATAATGCATTACCTACCGAAATAAAGGCCATTATTAACATTGAGCTCACTCGACTGTCCACCAGAGGACCCTGTTTCTATCAATCCATCATCAATTAGTAAGGAACCCCGTTGTTCGTACCTGAGCGGAAGAAGATCGACAACAAATTTCAAGAACCTGATGAATAATGCAGTTTTGATCTCAAATATGGAATAGTGACACACTTTTAAAGGCAATAATGCTAACTGGCAACATAAATCTTACGTCACTATAATAAGAACATTTGAAAGTTCTATTTAATTATGGAGCTTGGCGTGTTCAGATAGTATTAAGGGAGCAACTATCAATCATCAAAGTATGTTAGTAGTAAACTAATTTGTTCTTCTGTTGCACGAAAGCATCGCATACCTATACTTAGTGTCAGAATATGATGGTGATATATAATTCCGGGCAATAAATAACAATCTGCAACATACGGGAATGTTTGTAAAAGTGTGAACACGTTTAAACAGAGTCTTACTGAGGGGTTAACTTGTTGTAACACAAAACGACTACTTTTTTACAATTGAAGAGGTAAAGCTCGTGATTCGAAAAAGAGCTTGTATTGATAATAAAAACACGTGGATTTCAGTTACGGTTTAATAAATATTACAATTTATGGAACAGTAAATATCGCAGTTGTGGCTAAATGAATATCGATGTTATGAGGTAGTAAATATTACTTTTATGTCTTACTAAATATCGCAATTTATGGAACAGTAAACATCGCAGCTGTGATACAGTATTGCTTTTACGACTTAATAAACATCTCAGTTTACTGAACAGCAAATATTGTTTTTATGGCTTACAAGTTTATGGAACAGTAAATATCACATTGTGGCTTAATACATATTGATGTTACGACGTAGTAACTACTGCTCTAATAGCTTATTAAACATCGCAGTGTATGGAACAGTAAGTATCCTAGCTATGACATAGTAAATATGGATTTTATGCTTAATAAATATCGATGTTATGGAACAGTAAATATCGCACTTCTAACACAGTAAATATTACTGCTATGGCTTAACAAATATTGAATTTATGGTACGGTAAGTGCCACAGTTCTGGAGTAAATATCGAGTTATGGCACAGTAGATATCGGAGTTATGGCACAGTATGGTTATACATGTAAAATTATAGGTTGTGGAAGTATCCTAATAATCTGGATGTTTAATAACACTTTTATATACCGTAACACTTACGGAAGTAGTTAAAAGTAATAAATATTTTTCTTTACATTCAAAGTGTTGATATAAAAAACGATGACTGAAACTTTCACTGAATCAAAACCAGGAAAGAAAACCCCCCCAATTTCCATTATCTTCAACTATTGAACACCAGAGGGCGTCTGAGTCCACATAGAACGTATATCACTATCTGAGTGCTTTAACATGACAGAGTAATAAGAAGGTCTTGTATTGCGAGTGCTTATGATGGTGTCCTAGGTACTTATGAAGGTAACTACATTAATAATTGGTAAGATAGCAAACTCAGTTAATACAAGGACGTTTGGTAAGATAGTAGATTTATATTATTTATAACAGAGTTTTGCAGGAAAGCAAGCTCATATATTATAGGAATGACCCGATGAACGATTGGTCCATTATACAAAATACAAGAACATTTGGTAAGATAATATTCTAGTCTGATTTCCTGGTGACACAATAAATGTGCCATATTTAAAATAACCACGTGGTTGAAGGATCGACTTATACGTTATATCACACAGGCTAGAATGATGATCTTATACTAAGTCATAAAGGAATAGTTAGAAGATTAACAACCAGTGATATTACCTTACTGCCCGAACAGAGTGCCATTTTCCGTCATCTATTCGTGAGGAGTTGTGGACAATATTGACCTCTCCAGAACCTAAGCTGTAGTGTAGCTGAAGGAAGCCATCTTTGATCCCGAGAGCCAGAAAGTCTCCAGAAGATGATGCTTTCTTGTTTCCTGCCCATAGAATTAGTGCATGAGGTGAGTAGGCCTTGACACGAAACTGGATGTCCAACTCCTTTCCTCGTACCCTGGGGATTCAATACCTTGTTGACATTACTTGCTCACAAGTTTGGTTAAGAAAACACCAATTTAGTACAAGTAAAGCAAGTTGACAATATGTTAAACAATCTACAAATTAACGTTAAGAAGTACTTCTGAAAACTAACATTTGTTTCGTGTATAATATGTTCCAGACTCCACATTAATATAGTGTTTGAATGTTTTAACTTCGATATCTAGTTTTAAAAAAATATAAAGCTTATAATAACAAAGGGATATTTCGTTATGCTCTGACAAAGCTTCGGAGTTTACTGTGAGTCAAATAACTTATTAGTTATTATTCCATACGATAAGATTTAGCTAACCTGAAATTCAAATAAACTATTTATCCTTAATAAGGTTCTACAATAGAGTCTACATCGTTAATCTTTGTAACAGCTTAATTTGCCTGAGTTATAAGCATTAATTTACTTTAACGTCCAAAAATACAGGGAAACGTTTTATTCCTGATGAAACACTAATGAGATAAGATAAATAAAAAGCCAAGTAACTACTTTGGTGATCAGCTCACGGAAAGAAGAATCTGGCTATAAAGGAATATCTTATCGACCAATTACATTTTCTAGCAGGTCTCGTACCCCTGAGATCTAGAAACCATGAATTATTTCCTGTGATGACATAAATGAAATCATGGACGGAACAACCGTGGTTAATAAGACCAGGTATAGAAATTGATCAAAATCGTAAAATCCCTAATAACTTCATGTGGTTGTTTAGCATGTGAGCTGTAATCCCAAACCACGTGATATTTCTTCGATATACGTGCACAGAGATAAGAAAAGAAAAGAAACAAAAACTCAAATTTTTCACAGAAACAGGTCATTTTTTTGTAAGTTGGTATTTTGATTCCGTGGAAGATTACCCGTAATTAGGAGCAATAAGTTCTTGAAATGGGGACTTTCTATCTGTATTTTTTAGCGAAATATTGCTCACGTTCGGATTACAGTGATCATTAGTGAATTTAAAGGATGCAGTTGAACATAATAATCTGAGTTTTTGACAATCAGAACAAAAGATGTGCATCTAACAAACCATGGTTTTAAATAACGGTGACTGGTAATTTGACTCCCAGTATTTTCACTCCCCATGCATTTCATTCCTTGTAATAATTATTAATGCCAAAAATTACCAACAATAAAAGTGACATTTATTAAAAATGGTGTAAGTTATGAGTTATTCCTCGTAAAAAGTCCATCTTGTTTTCTGGATTATATCTAGCAAGAAGAACATAGGTTAGGTTAGGTTTGTCGTATAAAAGTTCATCATGTTTTCTGGGTTATATCTAGCAAGAAGAACATAGGTTAGTTTAGGTTTGTCGTATAAAAGTTCATCTTGTTTTCTGGGTTATATCTAGCAATAAAAACATAGGTTAGGTTAGGTTTGTCGTAAAAGTCCATCTTGTTTTCTAGATTATATCTAGCAAAAAGAACTTGCAACAACTGCTGCCAACTGCGGTTGATAAGTTGGTAAGACCTTCAATAGATGATATGCAACCATCGGAATGTATTCTCGTACAACCTATTCAGTCGTTCAGCTGCTCCGGCCAGCAGCGATTATGGAACAGTAAAACATACTTTTTGACAACAATAAATTATTACAAGGAGTGAAGTGCATGGAGAGTGAAATTCTCCTACAACCATAAATAACGTCTTTATTATAATTGTCACGAAAAAAAAACACCTTTTCACAGTTTAAGATAGTTATATAGGGTGAAGCAAAAACTCGAGCTCATTCATGATATTCCCGCCTTTTTCTAAGTCGTGTTTACGTTTCACTCTCTCTTTATCTTTTTATTAAAGTAATTAGTTGGGATTTCATTAACACTGCAAGTACCTGCTGTGACAATGTGTCTCATTAACATTACACGTACCTGCTGTGACACAATGTCTCATTAACATTATAAGTACTTGTTTTAATGCTGTGTCTCATTAACATTACACGTACCTGCTGTGACACAATGTCTCATTAACATTATAAGTACTTGTTTTAATGCTGTGTCTCATTAACATTACACGTACCTACTGTGACACCGTGTCTCATTAACATTACAAGTACCTGCTGTGACATCGTGTCTCATTAACATTACACGTACCTGCTGTGACACTGTGTCGTTACATTAACGCTACATATTCATGGCGATACGTGTCTTTACCATCACTCTGTAAACAGTTAATGAATATATTTAATTCCGAAAAATAACAACGTATATGTAAAGAGTAATCAATAGAAAAACAATGGCAGTATACCGTGTCATAATATCTTCGTCTGTGTAGTAGAGATAACTGTTTCCTGAAAACATGGGCTCGGTTATCATCCCTCTAATCTCTACAAAAAAACGAAAAATCAATAATCAGAAGTTACATTTTACAAAGTGCTTCAAATAATATTTTACATCCATCCAATCATTTCACTGTTATGACATCTCTCAAGCACGTGCCTATATAATTTTCCATAGTTCTCTCACAGATACTGACTTTCGAGAATCCCATCACAGTTTCTTCAAGAAAAAAACATAAGAAAAATTACTCATATTTCTAGTTGCCTCAAAAATGCCATTATTTGTTAAATTATTAAAGATCTTAAAGAATGCAAGTCAAATAAGTCTAAAATAATATTCTTTAACCAAATATTTTTGTATCTCAAGTCGAATGCCGTATTTGAACTTTCATATCACAATATTTGTCTTTCTCAGCTCTCTGTTTTTCTGTATTGTCCCGTGTGTTCTACTTACCTAATTAAATGCCCCTAATGGCTCGGCGTTAAGTCTAAGGTCCTATAACGCTAAAAATTGAGTTTCGATACCCGCGAGTGGACACAGCACAGACAGTCCACTTGTGTAGCTTTGCGATTAACAAACAAACAAAACAAACACCTTATAAAAAATACTTCTATGTTTTAGCGCCCTCTGGTGCGGCCAGTTTAAATGGAAAATAGGTTAATTATTCAACTTTAATCACCAAGTTATCCGTTCGGTTTCAGAACAAAACTGATGTGACTGATACAGAGTTTTACAGCACCTTTATAACTTATATCTTTAATTTTGATTTCGATACAAGATTTTATCTATTCTTAAATCTTCTTCTCAGGATATTTCTGTGGCAACATCTAAACTTTATTTCGATACAAGATTTTATCTATTCTTAAATCTTCTTCTCAGGATATTTCTGTGGCAACATCTAAACTTTATTTCGATACAAGATTTTATCTATTCTTAAATCTTCTTCTCAGGATATTTCTGTGGCAACATCTAAACTTTATTTCGATACAAGATTTTATCTATTCTTAAATCTTCTTCTCAGGATATTTCTGTGGCAACATCTAAAC